CTGCCTCCTTGGTTTATCCTCCTCCTTCTGACCTGCAGAACCAAGGAGGCCCAAGCTCGACAGGGGGGGCATGTATGCGCGAGCAGGACCTCTTCGGCCTTTGGATGCTTCGCAAGCGTCCATTGTTCCAATTTGACGTCAAGGGAGTACTCGCTACTCGCGGTAGAACGGCATACAAGACGCTTCCGCCTACATAGCTTGTGAGCTGTGAATGATTCCAAGCTCAGAAACGGCAAACCGAATAGGCTGACGGTCTACGTCCAGCGAGACGGCATGAGCTGGGAGGCGGATCAAGACAAGTCAATGGCCTAAATACGACAAACTTCTTTCGGGGGACCCATGCCTCTCCTGCCCTGATCACAGCTCACGACCCTTCAGCGGCTCGTTCGTCGGGCTAAGACTTGAACCTGGAAATGAACCGAGGATTGGACCTCTCGCGAAGCTTCCGCGTCACCGCTTGGGCCCTTTTGAAAGTGAAATGAGCGGCGGCGGGAGAGCCCACGGGGCTTCAAAGACCTGCACTGCCAAAATGTGTTCCTATCTTCCTCCTTGGTGAGGGTCGTGGTGTGTGTGCAGGTACAGCGGCATAACAAGTAGCTAGCGGTACAGGAACACAATGTGTCAGACAGCACGGCGATATCTAACAAAATTTGCAGCTACAAAAGGCGCACAAGCAGGTCTGCGTTTCCTCCATGACAGTCTGGCAAGTCTCGTCTGAACGTCCACCATCCTTTCTCGTTACTCCACGGAACTGACAACACAAGGCTGATTGACTTCACCAAGCATTTCAATTATGGCGTCGGCTATGCAGGTGTCACGTTCGTGGAACGGCAGCTCCACCCTCCCACGAGTGGCGCCTGGGCTAAGCTCTTCAGTACATCTGGTTGATCTCGCAGCTGTAGAAGCGGCTCTGCGAGAAAAGACTGGCAAGCTCATGACTGTTGTCACGCCTCCAGATGAACGCGAAGAGCTCCTCGACTCGCTCGACTCTGCCCTCATCTCTCAGGCCGAGACACAAAGCCGCGCAGTCGACAGGGCCGATCCGCGATACTTTCGAGAAGCAACCGTTCTGATCAAAGATCAGTACGACGACTACTCTACCACGACGGACAGTACCGCCAAGCATACGCCCTTCGTTTCGCCGAGCTCCACCACTCGGTCTCGCCCAGACCGATCTTCTGCATCTGTGCCCTCGTCTCCGATCTCCTCCACACGCAAGGCGTTGCACAAAATGCGGTCGCAAGAACGCTTTTGTCCGCCTAGCCGGCCTGTCGACTTTGCCAAACCTCCCACCAGGACTTGTCCGACCAGCCCTTCGGCAAATCTGCACAAGACTCTCCTTAGCGAAAGGCGCGGGCAAAGTCCTTGCACGTCTCGGGGTGATACTTTCAGCCATTTCAGCGATGACTCGTCTGATGAGGAAGAGCACAAGGTAAGCGCTCTCGTTTGGAAGACGACATCAAGCAAGGAGCTTTTGCCAATCTGTCAACTAATCATGCCATGATATGCTGCTCACATCACAGTCGCCATCAATGATACGCGCCATCAAGAAGAAAACCTCTCTGCCCTCTCTTATCGGCGGCCGCGGACATCGGTCGAAACCTGCGTCAAATTCGCTGCTTCTCCACGAAAGCCCGTCGGACTGCGGAAAATCCTCTCTGACACGATCGAACAGCACAAGGTGGAAGCCGCCATCCAATTTGCTGCTCCTCGATCACGGCGTATCACACAAATCTCCGATGATGCCCTCGCCAAAGTCGTTCACGAGCAGCAAGAATGGGTTCGCATCTGCCACGAGCAGCGACTCGAATTCAATTTCCTCAGGGTCTCTTACAACCGAGTCGGAACTCACTCCCAGAGGCTCATCCTTGAGTCTTCACGGCTCCACATTCGATGACTCTGTAGAATGGGCAATGAAGTCGAGTGACTTTGTGACCTCGCGCGATTCGCGGTCAAGTGCGTCAGCTTCTGCCACAGAGCGGGGCCCTTTCACTGATGAGGATTCTCAAATGGCTTTTGACGGGCCTCATGCTCTTGTGTGTGCCAATCCGGCAGTCATGCAGCGCAGCATCAGCAGCAACGGCACAATTGGCCCCTTCTCGCCGAAGCCAATATTGTCATCCTCATCAGAGAGACGAAAGGATCCGTGGGAGTGCTTACCAAACAGTGCTCCCTTATTTGCCACGTCGCCTTGGTTCAACTGCTTGCAAAGAGACAATCATGATCATTCTCTGTTTGCTCTTCGTCCTCGCAAAGCACCCCCCGTACCGGGCGAGGCTCCTAAGCCGAGGAGACCGGCCAAATCTGCCACACCTCTAAGTGCACGCTCACCGGCTTCCAGCTCATCGAACCGACGTCATGAGCTACTGCTGCCCAATGCGTTGCTCAATCGTCATAATACACGGAGTAGGAAGACCACTCGTTCGGGCTCAACTCCGTCAAGTGCGCGTGCGTTGCGTCAGGCATCGACACATCCCTTCAGTAGAAGCGAAGAAGCGCTCAGTAGCCCTCTGCATCTCTCTTCTGACCCGCCGGTGCTTTCGTTCAGCTCTACTATTGATCACGTCAGCCCTCCAAGTGCTATCGACAAAGCGTTGCCACAGCCTCC